GAAGAAAATATATGACTCTTCAAGTCAACAATTTTTATTTGGTGTTTACACTAGAAGTTAAGCCTGCTATACCAAGGACTAAGGTAAGAGACTTTAGGTCAAGGCATATGCACCATTTGTAACTGTTTATGGCCCACATAAATATTTAAATTAATGAAATGGTGGAATAATTAATTTCCTAGAATAACTTTCCATATGGTTTTTGGTGAAAGTTATTGCAGGACAAAAACCACCTACTTCTATGATGGGGGAAGTTGCGTAGTTCCAAACCTATTAAAATTCCTACACAAGTTTCTCTCTCAAAAGAAACTCGTGCTTGTTCCATCAGGTAAAGGACAATCAAGTGGGCATTGACTTCCATATGTCGTGGAAGAAATTAGTTGCGTACCTTTAGCTTTGAAATGAATTGGTTCACAGAAATCAAAAATCATACTCAAATATCGCTACCCCCTATTTATGAAAATTGAAAATTGTACACATGTCGGGTCTTTGATAAGAAATGAATTTGGCTTGCACCTGAGATGTCATGTTGAAGACTAAATTTAAATAAATATATATGCCCCTCTCTAAATGCTTAAACTTTAAGATGAACATATTCAAAATAGCGAGCACCATGCCACTGCTTCATTATCTGATTGTCCGTTGCACCTTAAATTTTTTACTTTATCAGAGTTCCCAATCTTATACTTCACATCTTTATCCTGGGCATTCACAACTATTACTTGAGGGATCATACTTATACTGGATCGTTTAAGCTTTTTACATCATGATGTTTAGAGATGGCTTCCTATCGTTTTCTTCTGGGAACATCAAACTCCGATCCTTGAAAATAATGTAAAATGATAAATGAATGAAATAAACTAGAGAAAGGAATCATAATTATTTGAGCTGGAGGAGTAATCCTTTAAGTTTTGTTTTAGATCTGATAGAATTAGTAACTGAAGTGTCGATTGTATTCTTTTATGCAGATTCAAGAATGTATGATCTCTAGCTCACAATCCAGCCAAGATATCATCCCAGTTAAAGACCAAGGAACTTTGCAGTTGTCAAACTAGCAGCAACTTTTCTACAGGGATGTATAGTAAAGATGAGCAGACGAACTTACTAAGAAACTGATTTTATTTGTTCATTTTTCGATTCTTTTGTCCAACAAAAAGGGAAATGTATCAATTGTTTTGTTGTCGCCTGATCAGAATATATATATATATATATATATATAACTACAACAGAAACTGTTAAGAAATGTGAAAACCATATTGTTATTTCTTACAAGTTTTTGCAAGTACCATCTCTTTGGTAAACTATCTGCCCATTTTTGCTTGCCATTTTTTTTTTTTGTTTCTTTTAATAATGATATAATTTCAGGATACCAAGGCCAAAAATTTAATTCTCTGCTTAAAAGGGCCTTTTTTATGGGTCCAAAACTCCAATTTAACCTCGTTAAAAATGGTCACCATCTGTTTCAATTATTGTTCTCATGAAGAAGTGATCAACTGCATCATTTGTCGAGTTGGTTAAGCTAATACTAACTCAACTTGACGCTACAATTTTGCTGTTTTCCACTCAAAATTTGGTGTAGTTGGACAAGGTACGTATGTGAACATTCTCGAGTTACCAAACATTGACGAGGAAATTGCAAAGTTATTACGATATACTAGCTGGCATTTCTCTCAATATCCTTAATAGGTATTTTAAGAAATAAATTAATAGCACAACCATTGTTGTGGTCATTTCCAGTACCACTGTTATATAGTTGCAACCGCGATTCATGCATGGTTCTTTTATTCACGATTAGTATCACGGTTGTTGGAAGCAAGAAGAGCAGTAGTGGACTGATCTTGAGAGGTATGGTAATATACTTATAATCGTCTTTCTCCATCACGAAGTACCAACTTCCCTCATTTTAACATATAATGTTTCAAAAAAAAATATTGGGAACTCTGTCCCCGGAATCCCCGTGGGCCCCTCACCCTTCAACTCTGAGATCCCCCTACTTTGACGGGCTGGCTCCAACCCTGGGACATAGTGTACTGCATTAACAATCACATCATAATCAAGATAAGTTGAATAAGAGGGTTCATCTGTGAGCCTGCAAATATGATCCATATATTTCGTAATGGAGTATGAACATTTGCAAATAAAACATTTGCAAATACTAAAGGTAATGCTTAATCTGGTAATATCAAGCATTAATTTGAGAGGTAATTTGGATACATACATGTACTTTATGCCCTTTTCACTGGAAAATCATTTCACAGCTTAAAGTGTTTTTCAAATGTAACTGAAATCTACAAAAGAAAATCACGCCACAACAATCCTATTCTCACTTTATGCCCTTTTTACTAGTTGGAATAAAGCATAGGACATTTACTTTTAGAGAAAAAATATGCTGTAATTTTTTTGTACTGCTAGGCTGGGGACCCTTGGTTCCTTTATGTAGACACCTCTACATGACTTGTGTCCATCATAGAAGTGGGTGTTCTCCTGCAATCCAATGAACATACGGAAAGTTATTCTACGTAGTTAATTAATCCACCGTTTAATGAATTTGGACTTCAAATTTAAATATTAAATATATAGATCATAAACGGTTACATTCTCCCACTTGGTTCACATATTTAGCAACTCAGTTTAAAGAGGGTAATTAATATGACCATATGCTTAACGACGAATAACCAACTTAAACAGAAATTCACAACAGTTGAATCATGGCCCTCCAGTTTTAATATGCAGCTATTTTCTTTCATACTAGTTTATTGCCCATGCAATCTGCGGGCAATGTAATTTCGAAGGTAATGTTAGCGTTTCAAAAAAATTTCAATAAAGTTGATCTTCAAATCTATACATTTACGTATAAATTCAACAATTTTAGCAAATTATATAGTTGTACTCAAACAAAATAGCAGAAAAAATTTGGCACTGCAGTTTATCTAGACAGAGATCAGCTTGCTATTGTTATTGTAACAACTTGGTACCACAAAAAAATAATGTTTTACTGATGTAAGTGATGAAACTAAGTGAAAATTGTCAATCTACCTGCAAGGACAGAGAAATAAGTTTCCCCCATGCATCCCCAGCAACTGATTTCAGTTGCCCCTTCTTTCCTCGATTCCCTGTTGGTCCATTCAATTTTGGTTCCTCGATAGCAGATAAACAGTTTCAGAAGTCAAAATTTAGTTGTTGAAAGAAAAAAAATTGGCATAACGTAGGACATCATAAGGAGTCAATTTTGGTTCCTCGATAGCAGATACAGAAGCACCTACATGTTCGACCAAAAAGTAGAAAATAGTAAATATAATTTGAAAATGTACAAAAAACAAAGAAAAAACCAGCAATTAAATCAAGTCAAAGCACATGCAGAGGAATAAAACACACATATAGTTATCGAAAAATCTCCTTCTACCACCGCCTCTGGTGATTTCTTCATATCCGACTGCTTTGCACCACAATAAAATATT